CGGAAGCCGCGCTGGGCGGTGGCCTCGCCAGGCCATGTCTGTGCCGCGGGCGGACCACGCGGCCCCTTCCCCAAACTCTCCCCCGTCTGCCAAAGCGGCTGGACAGTGGGGTGCGGGTCGTGCCGTTTCTGGGAGCCTGTAACCGAGCGGGGGCGGCACTGTACGGGCCCGGAGGGAGCCTCAGGGCGCTGAGCCTCTGAGTCCTCTGAGAGTAGAAGCGGCCGCTTCTGGATTCGCTGCCTCCTGTTTCAGGCGTCTGCTGGCCACGGGGGGCACTTTCTGATCCTAAGAGTGTACCAGCTTTGCTGTTCGCACTCCCAGGCCCCGTGGCCCCGATGCCTTCGATGGCCGCGCCCACCGCTGTTGGGGGCGCGCTCTGCAGACGCTCTCCTCTCCCCGAGTCACTGGCGTCCTGCGGTGGAGCCGCCTCGGGGAGGGGAAAGGCGGTGGGGACGCTTCGGGTGGTCGTGTCTTGCATTTTGCTTGATGCGGTTGGGTTTATGCTCCTCGACATGGCTGCAGTTTTAACAGTAGGTAGTTTGAAATCTGTCGGTTTTTCAGGTGGTAGCGCGTGTGGACTGACCATCGGGGAGACTTCAGCACCAGCACTTACAGCCGTCTCAGGACCATCGGGTGCCCTCTGGGACCCGGCAGGCCCCGTCCTGGCCCGAACACTGGGGACTTTAGTCGCCAGGACCATGAACTCCTCCTCCGGAGGGAGCAGGCCCGAAGCGTCTGCTTCCTCGCCGGGCACACTCAGGGGCTGGGTGGCCGGTGCAGGTGGCCCCGCTGCGGAAGTTTCCTGCTTCTGGGGCACAGCTTTCTTCTTAGCTTTCTCCAGAAGTGCCGCCCAGCGCCGCGGGTCGATTCTCCGCGCAGAGGGCGGGAGCTGCCTCCTGTGCCCCCGGAGAGGTCGGCTGGCTGCATTCCCACGCCGCCGGTGCCTTAACTCCCGATGGCTGGGCGTCTTTCCTGTGCTCAAGGCCTGTTCCCCAGCCTCAGCCCCCGTGGGAGCGGATGTCAGGGGCGGCACAGCTGGTGGGTCCTTCGGGTGCACGGTGGGATCGTGCTCAGCAAGTCCAGATCCGTCCGATTCCACGTGGTGCTCCACTGAGCTTGGCCCTTTCGTCTGGACTGAAACTTGGTTAATCAAAACGTCCACCCCTGACGGGTTGGCTGCCACACAACGATAATGGCCCTGGTCTCGCTGGGTGACCCGCAATATTCGTAGCGTGCCGTTGAGAATCTGCTTCTCGCCTGAGGACTGGGAGAGCACAGTGTTTCCTGGGAGAACCCAGCTGACGGAGGCATCTGGGACCCCAGTGGAGCGGCACGGAAGGTCCAGCGCTTCACCAAGGAAGACGGTGTGATGAGCCCCGTTTTCCTGACGGGGCTCCACGTGGGGCTCTACCACGGTAACCCTATAGGCGAGAACATCTGCATCGGCGTCATTGGTGCTTATGCAGCCGTAAATGCCTGTGTCAGAGCTATCAGCCATCTGGAGCTCCAGTTTTCCACTCTTGTCTATTAGGATTCGTCCATCCTCGCTGACATAAGGGGCTCTCACTTTACTCCCATCAGCTAGAAGCCACTCCAAATGTGGGGCAGGGTCTCCTTGGCCTGGGCAGTCTAGGTCAATGGTCCCACCAACCAAAACAGTACGTTCCAGCTTAGTATTGTTATCCCTGGGAATCAGGGTCCATTTGTGTCCCACCGGCCCCACCTCTGACCGTGATACAGTGACGTGAGCATCACTGGAGTACTGGACCTGTAACGTACTGAGTGTGGTGGCCGTTCTGTTTAGCTGCAAGGAAATTTGGTCTTGCATTAACCAAGGAGGATCTGCTCTGAGAGCAGCCTCTATGTTGGTAAAGATGTCTTCAGGCTTAGGAGCCACCTGTTTATATTGGTAGCAGAGTTGTGGTGTTTCAGTGAGCAAGTGGCTCCTTTCTAATATCAGAGGGGAGTCACTGTACAAAGCCAGAATTTGCCACACTGGCTGGATGTGGCTGTAATCTATGTTACACATCAGAAATGTAGAAAATGATGTATTTAGCCTGATGTAGTCATTGTCTTCGGTGAATGCAATGGATGATGTCCTTGAGGGCTTCTGGACACTGCAGACCACGTTAGCTTCATTTCCAGACTGGTCTGTCATATTCAAAATGAGGGACCCAAAGGGAGCCATGAAATTTTGGGGAGAGATGGACACAGAACTACTGTCTTCCAGAAAAGTCAGGCTCTTCAGTTTCAGAGATGGATCGATGGTTGGCTTGACACACAGGAAAGCTGCAGCCGGGACTGTAGCCAGGGGCTTGCCTTTGGAGGTCCTGGGGTTCATGCAGAGTGGACATTGCTGAGAATTGGAGGGACTTCTGTCTTTTTTGCATTTGATTATATCTAGGAAAAAGGACAACTGAATTATTACAAGCTGTGGACTCTTTATGAAGTAACATTCGAACATTTTGAAGAAATAGCTTCTACTAGAATTTGAAACAATTTGGAAATTTTAAAAATGTTTTTATTGATTTTAGAGAGAGAGGTAGGGAGACAGATAGAGAGATAGAAACATCAATGAGAGAGAGAGACATTGATGGGCTGCCTCCTGCACGCCCCCCACTGGGGACTGAGCCTGCAACCCGGGCATGTGCCCCAAGAGGGAATCAAACTGGTGACCTCTTGGTTCATGGGTCAACACACAACCACTGAGCCACAAGGGCTGGGCCGATTTGGAAATTTTAGTGTTTAACAGAAAGTTTTCTACTTTTTTTTGTCTTTGGGTTGATTTCTAAAAAACATATTATCTATATATTCTGTCATAATATTATATTCATAGGCACAAGGATTTGGCCTGTCTTGCACAAAGTGCCTCATATGTATGTGCTACTCAATGAATGTTACTTGAAGAGTTTTCTTATCCGGGGAAACTAATGGACATGCTTATGTTTGTTACTTTTTATTAATAGTAATTTGGTTCTATTTGCTCATTTTAATGTTTTGAGTCATAGAACTTCACTGTCCTTTAAAAGATAACCTGTTCGATAATTTATCATTTATAAGTCCTTGGATGTCATTAAAAACCTAAGTTACTTTCCATTATCCAAAAGAACAGTAATTGAATTACAAGGTATCTTGACCTGGCCTCGCTTAGCTATAATCAGAATGGAGAGAAACAGAGGGAAGCAGGCACTCGTGAAGCTGGCAGAACCCAGCAAGGGGAGGCGAGGCTTTGGTTCCAATGTGGAGGGTGACTGAGTGGGAAAGTGAAGGCAGACACAGTATGACTTTGGTAACTGGATGCAGAGACTCACTGAGGGAGGATCAAATTTAATGAGGGGGACCACTGTACCCAGGCAATGGGGCAGCCCTTTAAAGGCCTGACATCTTGGGGGAGTCCGAAGCCTGGAAGTCTGGGAACAGCCTAAGCCTTTCCAAATCACAGAAAGGGTTTTCCCATATCACATACCTGGCCACTTAAAAAGACCGCTCTGGGGAGCCTATTTAAACTGGCTGGTCACTGAAATACCTACCTGGTAAGAGTTTTACTTTACACACATGCAGAGGGAGCGTCCATGCTGTTCCACGCAGCAGCTCCGTCTCATGCTCTGGACACCGCATTTAGAAAGAAGGCCTATACTAGAAAATCTCACTTGCCAGAGTGGCTGGACAGGGTCAGGTCACCTTCCACCTGTGCACAAGTCCCCTGAAAGGCTTGGGAAAGTCCCTCTGACCAAGGACGCAAACTCTTCAGTATATACTTTAGTGTGACAGTAATGCCACAGAGATCTGGCTGCTCAGCTTTCTTCAGCAAATTTCAGAGCCGAAGCCTAGGCAGAGTAGGTGGCTGTGAGCCTGGAAACCTCTGAGCGTGAGTAAGGGGCTCTTCTCACTCCTCACTTACCGACCGGCTGCGACCTCCTATTGCTTTTCGGCACCTGGGCTCAGACCCTGCTAGAGCGGAGAACGTGGCAGACTTCTGGCTCAATTAAAACCTGTCACAGAATTAGGCGCACACCTTGCCATGCCCATTACTGCCAGCACCTGCACCACGGTTAGCAGGCCCCGGCCTCATGCAAATCTGATCATGTCACTTCCATTCCCTCTCACTCTAGGTCCCAGTCACACACAAGTGCTTTCCATTCCCCCTGCCACGCCCTCCCAGGCTCTGGCCTGTCTGTCGCTTCCACACGCGTGCTGACACCCGTCTTCCACCGCCGCCCAGCCACGAACGTGCTTCAGCACCTCCAGGTGGGCTCCCTGCTTTGCAGTCTGGTACCTCCCGCTTCTCCCACCCTGTCCCCTCCACCACTGTTACAATGACCTGTCCAGCTGTCTGTCTTCCCACAAGGCTGTACGCTCCGTGCTTGTTCGTCTGTGTGTCCCCAGGCCTGGCCAACGGGTGCTCAGGGAAGATGGAAGGAAGGCAGGAAGGAAGGGCGGTGGGCCTAATTCTGAGGCCGTGCTTTTTATAAACGGAGATAAGTCTTAGGACCGAAGGTGTTTCCCGCGGCCGCTGAGCAGCAGGCAGTGTCGAAGGGCTGCCGCCCGCTGGCTGCACACACGCAAGTACTCTCACATCCACTCGCAGGCTTTTCTCTACAACTGAGCTACACGTGCTCTTGGGACTGCATATATAAATTTGCTGCCTAAAATGCTTTTATTAAGATTACACTGTACTTTGGCATTAAAACAAGAAGTTATTATACATGCAGAAAGGTATGGAAACAGAGCAAACAGCAGGATATAAGTTTAATATTTGTTACACAAATGTTTACTAGAGAAATGGCCGCAAATCTGTATTTTATAGAAAAGCAACCCCAGGAGCTGCTTGGACCCTAAGAATGAAGAACACAGATAAAGCTGTGTTGCACTGGACGGCCAAGGTCTGTGTAAAATAACTGCCCACCACACGCCAAGGCAGGCAGCTGAAGGCAGGAGGACTCAGATCTCTCGGAACAGATGAAAAAAATTTCAAAACAGAAGTCGGCTTGACTGATTCGTGAGTGTTGTACGACTATCATCAAGGCATCTCAGTCAAAAGGAGAACACTTGCTCACTTAGACACAACTGAAAGATGTCAGCCCTAATGGGTTTGGCTAGTTATTATTTTATACATGTATTTATCAGTATGTCACACACACACACACACACACACACACAGAGTTTGGGGACATATTAAGACCCCATTGATGGGTAGCAGGCATTTGTATTCACCATCAAAATGGCTATTTAATTGATAAAAGCTTAGTTTAACAAAAATTATTGAGGAGCTACTATGTCCTAGGCACATTCTAGGGGCAAAGGATAGATAAAATAGACTTAGGAAAGGGAACAGACATTTAACACTAGTAAGTATAACAATGTCATTCAAGAGCAGAGCATGGGCACATGGAAACGGTGGAACGATTATTCTACAGCGATGGGTGTGCATGCGGAGGAGGAGGAGGAGGAGGAGGAAGAAGAGGAGAAGGAGGAGGAGGAGGAGGCTTCCCAGGAAAGCTCAGAGCTGAGAAAGGTCTTTGGCTGGGAGCCCATCAGCACAAAAGGAAGGAAAGTGCTCCGGGCAGGGGGCAGCAGGTATGAGGTGGCTAACAGGTTGGGTGTGTCTGGGAGCTGGGAAGGAATGAAATGAGGCCACCGCCAGGCAAGGAGCACCTGGGAAGACCTGGCTGCAGGCCCAGAGCCCGGCTGTTCTCTAGGCCAGGGTCAGCAACTTCTGTGTAAAGGGCCAGATAGGAAAGATTTGGGGTTTTGTGGACCACAGGTCTCTGACCCAGGACTCGACTATACCACTGTGGCACTGAAGCAGCCACAGGTGACATGACCCTAAAGAGTTCCAGTAAAACTACCTGCAAACGCTTGTGAGGGCTGGATTCTGCAGTGGGCCACTCCTGGGCTCTAGTACATAAAATAACCGATTCTTACAGTGGTACGTTCTACCTGATGAAATGTTAGCTGCTAACAAATACATACTACCCTGATTTTATTGCCAGAGCATGTAATTA